TTTTCTTTCTTTCCTTCTTGCTTTCTTTCTTTTTTTCTTTCTTTCTTTTTCTCTTTCTTTCTTTGTCTTTCTTTTCTTTCTTTCCTTCTTGCTTTCTTTTTCTTTTTTCTCTTTCTTTCCTTCTTGCTTTTTCTTTTTCTTTCTTTCTTTCTTTCCTTTCTTTTCTTTCTTTCCTTCTTGCTTTCTTTCTCTTTTTTTCTTTCTTTTTCTCTCTCTTTCTTTCTGTCTGTCTTTCTTCTTTTCTTTCTTTCCTTCTTGCTTTCTTTCTTTTTTTCTTTCTTTTTCTCTTTCTTTCTTTCCTTTCTTCTTTTCTTTCTTTCCTTCTTGCTTTATTTTTTTCTCTTTCTTTCTTTCTTTCCTTTCTTCTTTTCTTTCTTTCCTTCTTTTCTTTCTTTCCTTCTTGCTTTCTTTCTCTTTTTTTCTCTTTCTCTTTCTTTCTTTCTTTCTTTCTTTCTTTCTTTCTTTCTTTCTTTCTTTCTTTCTTTCTCCTTCATTCCTTCTTTCTTTCCTTCCTCCCTTCCTCCCTTCCTTCCTTCCTTCCTTCTTTCCTTTCTTTCATCCTACCTGTAGGATATTTGCTTGTTTGAAAGACCGTTATTTCTGCACTGAACTGGCTTTCACTTTTGTTGTTCATGTAAGTGTTGGTCTGTTTCTGGACTCTGAATCCCTCCCCTCTGGTCTGTTGGTCTGTCTTTGTGCCACTGCCACACGGTCTTGATTACTATAGCTCTATAGTAAGACTCACTCAGAGGGTGTCAGTCCTCCAAGTTATCAAAGTTGTGTAGTGATTCTGGGTCCTTTGCAATTCCCTGTGAATTTGAGACTCAGCTCACTTTCTACAGAAAAGGCTGCTGAGATGTTGATTGATATTATAATCAAGTTTGGGAGAATTGACATCTTAACAGTACGGAGTCCCTGACCCAAGAAAACTATGTATTTCTACACGTATTTATGTCATCTTTAATTTCCATCAACAGTGTTTTACATAGATTTCAGTGTTACAGGTCTTACACATCTTTTGTCAGATTTATTCGCAAGTATTTTGTATTTTTTGATGCTATTATAAATAGTATTGTTTTAAATTCTGGTTCCTTGGGGCGCCTGGGTGGCTCAGTCGGTTGGGCGGCCGACTTCGGCTCAGGTCACGATCTCGCGGTCCGTGAGTTCGAGTCCCGCGTCGGGCTCTGGGCTGATGGCTCAGAGCCTGGAGCCTGCTTCCGATTCTGTGTCTCCCTCTCTCTCTGCCCCTCCCCCGTTCATGCTCTGTCTCTCTCTGTCTCAAAAATAAATAAACGTTAAAAAAAAAATTCTGGTTCCTAATTGCTTCTTGCCAGTGTATAGACATACCACGATCTTATATCCTGCCACCTTTTTGCACTCACCTGTTGGCTCTAGTAGCTTTGGGTTTTTTTTTAGTAGGCTCTATGCCCAGCACAGAGCCCAGTGTGGGGCTTTGGACTCACGTCCCTGAGATCAAGACCTGAGCTGAGATCAAGAGTCGGATGCTTAACCGACTGAGCCACCCAGGCACCTCCATTCTAGTAGCTCTTAAAAATGGGTTTGATCATTTTCCCCATAGATGATGGTGTTGTTTGAGAATAAAGACAATTTCGCATCTTCCTCTTGCAGTATCGATGCCTTTTCTTTCTTTTTCTTGCCTTACTGCTGTTGGGAGGCCTTCCTTGTGGGTCTCTTGCGCTCCTGCCCGTCTCGCTGGGTATGCCGGGGATTCGTTGCTGTGACTTGCTCTCCACCCGGGCTGCTTCTCAGGACTGTGTCCCCTGCAAGCACCCGTGTGACGTGGTGGCATGTTTCCCTTATGGACAAACAGCAGGCTCGCTTACTGTTCACTCTGAGAAGCGTAGGTTACCCAAGTTCAGAGGTTCCTTCCCTGTAAGCATCGCTGTGTGTGTGTGCGGGCATCTCCCTGAGCCCTATGTGTCACCCTGTGGGGCTTTGGGGTCAGGGAGAATCTGTGCGCACGTGGGACTCACGCCATGTGCTATGCCTTGAATAAGAAAGTCGCTTCTGTCTCACCCAGAGGTTTCCTGTCTCCTGCTGACGTTCACCAAATAGCAGCAGGCTAACTTACTGGGTTCCAGGCGGAGTAAAATAAAATCTCGGCCCCTGCTAACCCTCGGGGTATCTGGCCCCGCTGATACCTCCAGATCAGTGCTGAGCACAAGTGCTGGGATCAGACATCCTTGTTCTCTTCCCAACCTTGGAGGGAAAGCGTCCTTCTTCCACTAAGTGTGATGTTAGCTGTAGGTTTTTCATAGATGCCCTTTTTCTGGTTGAGAAGTTTCTCTTCTGTTCC